AGAACTGCTAAAAATAAATGCAACACCAACATCACGGTTCATTAGCAAAAGTTTAAAGGTTCTTAAGAAAATGTGGAATGGTACCTTAAAGGACTTGGAAATTGGAGAGCCAGAAATGAACCTTTTCACCTGATTCAACCTGCTTCTTATTCTGACTTTGTATTTAAACAATTTGTCTTTGAATACCACCTCAACTTACTATATTAGTAGTTCAATTTTTTCAAAAATGTAGTTCAAACAACAAAAAGATCAATACTGAAAGCTTACCCTGAATTTTCAGCATTACGTTATCACTTCTAATTTCATGGCAGCATCAAAGAATTCGGTAACTCAAATTCTTACTCAATATTTTTTTGGGGAAAATACCATATGAAAAAAAGATATTATAAGGGAAAATGTCTATTCACCTAAGCCCACCGTTCAACTTCATTAGCACCTTCAATCATCTGCCAAAACAATCAACTCTTGTAACTAATCTCTCTTCATAACACACAAGTCTTACCTTCACATGAAATTCCGTCAAACATGCGACTGCATCAAGCCATTAATTATCTACAAAAAGTATCATATATAGATAATAAAATACTACTAATATTTTTAGTATTTTAGAGCTAGAAACTGCAAAATATTTGAAAACAAATTATGCATGTATTTCAAGAGGCATCTACGAGAACTCAAAAGAATCCAAGAAAAATTGTGGAAGACCTATAAATAAGAAAAATCAGTAGAATAATAGGAAAGCATAAACACAATAATGGGAAAAAAAGAGTAAAAATTCACAAGGGAAGAGGGTCAATACCACACAAGAATACTTACCAGGTAAACAATTGAAAGAACTTGAGAAGTTGGAGTGAGACTCTGAAGTAAAGTTTAACTCCGTTGAAGGTTTAAAATGGCTGTCAATGTTGTCAACCAGAGAAGAAAGAGTAGAAGCAGAGGTGAGAGAGTGAATAAAGCGAAGTTACTATTTTAACCCTACTCGTACAACTCAAGTTCTGTTTGAAGTACACTTTACATTGCTTCTTGTACCTCATTTTGGTTCCCAACATGAGGAAAGGTTTCCAAATAATTGTTGAATTATCTTTTCAAACTTTTTCCATGGGTGACCAAGTATGTATATAGTAGAGTTAAAATCATTGTACATTTGTCAAAATTGCCAATATTATGAAAAATAACCCAATACAATGAAAAACAATCAAGGATTGCAACTTGTGAATACAAATCAGAGACTTTACCATGTTTTGAATTACAGCATCTTCCAATTTCATTACATCAATAGCATCGTCTAATATCTCAAATTAGTTGAACAATGAACATCCCAACCTTTTTCTTAGCCCCAAATTTCAAAGCCAGAATAGAAAGCACAATAAAACATAAGAGTTTAATAAATAATATACATTGTCACCTTAAATAAATACACAATTCCGTTGCTGTATTTTAACCAATTCAAGATTGAAAATGGACTGCTGTTAGCAAAATTGGATAGAATTGACCAAAGAATCTCAACTCAAGATAAATTCATGAGAAAATGGTACCTCTTTCGGTACACAAGTTATTGTTTCTTTTGTTAAGTAAAATGATAATGTGGAGCGAAGGAGAATATCTTTATTTTAATCCAAATAGGTAAACAAAAAGACAAGTCAATCACACTGTTTCCTTCTTTGAATAGCTTAATAGGAAACAATCTCAAGATATTATGAATAGATATTTCTTTTTGTACTGCTAAAGTATTTTAGTATGCATTTTGTTTTACCAATAAAAAGCTCAATAATTGATGCTATTAAAATTACTGCACTCATAAATTGTAACTTTAAACTTTAATTATATAATAATGAGTATTAGTTTAAGTAAATCGAAGATGAAACAGAGGGAGTAAGTACCATGACTTCTTAAGACCCTTTTTGTCATTAGCCTTGCCTCTAATAGTTTGGGGGTTTTTGGCCATTCTGCTAGCCAATTCATTCTCATGATCAGAAAAGTATAATTGTAAGTTGTTGGGTTTTTCGTTGGAAGCGACTAAATCATCTATGAAATAATACATATGTCCCTATTCTCTAAATCTGTACATACCACAATTTCTTTTCACC